CGAGGGGGCCACGAAGGGCAGCGAGGGGACCACGACCGGCTGCAACGGGGCCACGAAGGGCAGCGAGGGGGCCACGAAGGGCTGCAACGGGGCCACGAAGGGCAGCGATGGGACCACGACCGGCTGCAACGGGGCCACGAAATGCAGCGATGGGGGCACGAAACGTTGCAATGGGGTCACGCAGGTCAGCGACAGGGCCACGACCGTTTGCAACGGAGTCGCGAAGGGCAGCGGGGGGGCCACGACGAGCTGCAACAGGTTTACGAAGGGCAGCGAGGGGGCCACGGAGGGCTGCAACGGGGCCACGAAGGGCAGCGAGGGGGCCACGAAGGGCTGCAACGGTGCCATGAAGGGCATCCGGGGGGCAACGAAAGGGCTGCAACGGGGACACGAAGGGCAGCGAGGGGGCCACGAACGGCTGCAACGGGGCCAGCAAGGGGACAGCGAAGGGCTGCAACGGTGCCACGAAGGGCTGCAATGGGGCCACGAAGGGCAGCGAGGGGGCCACGAAGGGCAGCGAGGGGACCACGACCGGCTGCAACGGGGCCACGAAGGGCAGCGAGGGGGCCACGAAGGGCTGCAAGGGGGCCACGAAATGCAGCGATGGGGGCACGAAACGTTGCAATGGGGTCACGCAGGTCAGCGACAGGGCCACGACCGTTTGCAACGGGGTCGCGAAGGGCAGCGGGGGGGCCACGACGAGCTGCAACAGGTTTACGAAGGGCAGCGAGGGGGCCACGGAGGGCTGCAACGGGGCCACGAAGGGCAGCGAGGGGGCCACGAAGGGCTGCAACGGTGCCATGAAGGGCATCCGGGCTGCAACGGTGCCATGAAGGGCATCCGGGGGGCAACGAAAGGGCTGCAACGGGGACACGAAGGGCAGCGAGGGGGCCACGAACGGCTGCAACGGGCCCACACGAAAAGCAGCGAAGGGGCCACGAAGGGCGGCAACGGGCCCACGAAGGGCAGCGAGGGTGCAACGAAAGGCTGCAACGGGGCCACGAAGGGCCGGGGGCCACGAAAGGCTGCAACGGGACCACGAAGGGCAGCGAGATCCCGATTTCCAAGTAAGTTCAGAGGGAGTCCGACGCGTGAGCGCGACTCCTTGGCGCCTGATCGTCGGTAAGTTTCCAGCGTGAGCGCGGCCCCAGATCGCCGACAGAGCGATCCCCGAATAAATAGGGGCCTCTCAAGCGAGAGCGCGATTCCTACGTAAAACGCGAGGAAGTCCCAGTCGGGAGCGGGGGTCTTGCATATACAGTGGGAGGAAATCTCAGGCGGGATCCGTGACTGTTGGACTCCAGGGGCCAACGACGTAGTTTGACCCCATTGATGTCCCATGGTTTTGCTTATAAAAATAGGGTACCATCACACCAAAAAAACAGTGTGCGAGTCCCGGGGGGAACATTCCAAGTCAAAGATCAATGGTCACCGGTGGTCAACAACCATTATTCTTCAGTAGTGGTAGATCAACAACAACAACAACAGCAGCAGCAGCAGCAACAGGAGCACCACCAACAACAGCAAAAACAACACCACCAACAACACCAACAAGCCCAACAACAACAATCACAACACCAACGCCAACAGCGACAGCAGCAACAGCAACCACAACCAGAACAACAACCACGCCAACAACATCAACAGCAACAGCAACAACCACAGCAACAGCAACAACAATAACAACAGCAGCAACACACGCACACAATTTAAGACTGTTCGCTCTTATTTGCTCGCTCGCCGTTGAGCACGTACATCCAGAATATTCGGTTCCCGCCCTCTTCGTTTTTGGTTGTTCCCCCTTGGGGGTCTTACTTTCTTGCCTGCCCATTTCGCACAGCCCGTAAAGCACGGGAATGGAGGACGGATGGAAGGGAGGGACAAAGGGGAGGAGTAAGATGGAACACGGGGGCCAGTAGCAGGACGTGGCCTAGGAACAGAAAACACGTGGCACAACCAGACGGACAGATCGGGCACGTAGACCTTAACGAGCGGGTCGGGAAGGTGGACCCTGGCGGCCAGGTCGAGCAGGCGGGTTGTTGAAGCGTGCGTCTTGCATGAGTCGCAAGGGCACTTTGAGCGATAGCGCAAATCCCAATGAAATCGTCTTGGAAACTACATCGAAAGCGTGATTCTTGCGTCTCGAGGGCGCGGCGCCTGAATGCATTGTGAGGAAGCCCCAAGCGAAAGCGCGACTCCTGCATACACTGTGAGGAAGCCCCACGCGAGAGCACGAAGTGTGCAATACACTGAGGGGAAGTATCTGGTGGGAGCAGTTCTTGTTGTAAGCGGGGAGCTGGCGGCCAAGTTTTGTGACTTTTTGCTTTCCCATGTAGAAAACAAGGTGCGAGCCTCGGGGGAAACAAACATTTGTACTGCAAAGTTACAATGGTTACCGAATGGGGGGTCAAAACCACCTATTGCTTAGAAGCGAAAAACCAACAACAACACCAACAACAACAACAACAACAACCACTCTAAGACTGTTCGCTCTTACTTGCCCGTGTGTCATCCGAAACGAGTTCCCCACACCCTCGGTACCCGCCATTTTTGTTTTCGGTCAAACCCCTTCCGGGTGGATTATTTCTCTTTGCGGGGGGCGGCGGGCTTAGACAGGCGGGCAAACCTGAACGGGCGAACAATCCTCGTGGGCGTACATGTGCCCGCCATTGGGATTGGTGTGGGCCCTGCAAAAAGAGGAGGGGGGAACGAGGGAGAGTGGGAGGAATGGCGGCGGGGGGACGAAGGAAGAGGGACAACGCCAGGAGAGAAGGAGCGACGAGAGGGGGCGGTTGATTAGCAGCAGAGAGAGAAAGAGAGAGAGAGAGAGAGCGAGAGAGAGAGAGAGAGACAAAGAAATAAAGACATATAAGAGAGGTAAAGAAAAATAGAGGGAGAGAGAGAGAGAGAGAGAGAGCGTTGGGAGAAAGAGAGAGAGAGAGAGAGAGAGAGAAAGAGAAGGAGGGAGGGAGGAGGCAGGAGAGGGGAGGGAAAAAGGGAGGAGGGAGAGGAGGGAGAGGGGATGGGACAGAGAGGCGTAATGATGATGGAAGAGAGGAGGGAGAGAGAAGGGAGGAGAGGAGGAAGGTGGGAGAGGGAATCGGAGCAGGAATGTAAGAGCGTGAACGTTCGAGGACGTTCTAGGCGAAAGCGCCGTTCTTGAAGGAAGTCTCGGGCGGGAGCCCACGACGGGCGGGCGATCTCCTGACGGGCGGGTCGGGCGGGTGGGACATTCAAGCGGGGTGCCTGAGTATGGCGAGCGCGCGATCCCTAAGTAAATTGTAGCGGCGTCCTTTGCGCAACGTGTTTCCTCAGCGTCGACAGCGCGAGTCCTGAATAAATCGCATGGAAGTCACAGGCGAGAGCGCCACTCCTGCATAACATGTGAGGGGTTCTGGCGGGAGCGGGGTAAATTGCAAGCGAATCTTGATTCGCTTGCGAAGTAGCGTCAAGCGGGAGCGCCGTTCCTGAGTACATTGTGGGAAGTCTCAAATGGGAGCGAGGGTCCTGACTAAATCGCGAGGAAGTCACAAGCGGGAGCACCGATCCTGAGTAATTTGTAAGGAAGTCCTAGGAGCTGGGGTGCTGAGTAAGTTTGGAGGAGCTCTCAAACGGGAGCCGTTGTTGTTGCAATCCGGCCAGGGGCCCAATTTGAGCAGGAAGATCTGCCTGTAAAAAAAACACGATGCGAGCGTCGAGGGGCACACTTTGATTGAGAACATCAGCATGCACCGGTGAATGGGGATCAACAGTAATTATTCTTCAGAAATGAGAGTTCAACAATAACAGCAACAACAACACCAACACCAACAACATCAGCAATATCAACAACAACAACAACAACAACCATGTGAACACTGGTCGCTCTTAGGCGCCCGCGTGCCGTTCAACACGTATAGGCCAAGCCCTCGATCACCGCTCTTTTCGTTTTCGGAAGTATGTTTTTTCTTGGGATATCTGTTTCTTGCCTGCCGCGTGTATTTCGTGCAGCCCCGAAGGCAAGGGAACAGAGAACGGATGGAAGGAAAGGGGCAAGGGGGAGGAATGAGGATGAAACACGAGAGAGAGTAGCTGGAGAGAGGGTTCGGAGCAGAAAACACGTGGCACAACCAGACGGGCCGATCTGGCGGATACCTCGTAACGGGTTGGTCGGGAATGCGGGCCTGGGCGGCCAGGTCGAGCAGGCGGGTTGTTGGAGCGTGCGTCTTGCATGAATCGCGAGGAAAGCTCGAGCGATAACGCGATTCGCGTTGAAATCGCGAAGAGATGTTCAGCGAGAGCGTGATTCCTGAGTGTCGCGGGCGCGGCGTCTGAATACATGTCACGGCAGTCCCACACGAGAGCGCGATTCTTGTGTAAATTGTGAAGAAATCTCGCGCGAGCGCGCAATGTGGGAATACATTGTAAGGAAGTACCAGGCGGGAGCCGCTGTTGTTGTAAACCCTGCGCCAGGGGCCCATCTTGGTGACCCCACACTGTCCCTTGTAAAAAACAGGGTGCGAGCCCAGGAAAGAGCATCTTTACTGAAACATAGAATGGTCACCAGAAGGGGGGATCAATCATAATCATACGTTTGAAAAAAAAAAAAAAAAAAAAAAAAAAAAAAAAAAAAAAAAAAAAAAAAAAAAAAAAACTCTGTTACAGAAACCCGAATATCAACAACCCATCATCACAAACAGCAAGCATAATCCGTTCCGCGGGGTCCCATTTCTGCCACGCACCCAAGAGCAGTGAATGACCGCTCGCCGCCCTCATTCTGATGATAGCATTTTCATATGAGAACATGTCGTGGTAGACCTAATGGAGTGCTGGGGCGGTCGGTCCCTGCTCAAGTGCAGGAGCATCGACTCAATCCCCCTGGTACTCGCTTTACTATTCACCCTCTTCGTCCTCGCGCCGTGAAAAAAAAGAAAGAAAGAAACAACAACAAAAAACGCGCGCGCTCGGCATGGCAGTCCCGAGCCCCCCCGCGCCCTCCCCCCCGAAACCGGCTGATGCAGGCAAGACGTCGCTGCGCTGGAGCGGCAGTGGGAGCTCCCAAGCGAAGGGCAGGAGGCCAGCCGTATAGGGAGTGGGGCCGAGGAAAAAACAATGGCGTGTAAACTCAAGATGGTCGGACTTCCGGCGGAGTTATTGGACCGGCGCTGGTCATCCTGTCAGCGCCTCAGGCGCCGCCCGTGGTGCATTCCGCGCGCCAGAAGGGGGGGGAATTTCAGCGCGAACCCTAGAAATCCGCGCGGAGTTCCGAACATTTCAGTTTATTCAGTTGTTCTTCCTATATGGGATGGTGGGCGGGTGACGGAGGATGCGGGCCTCTTTCTGCTGTATAGAATTTGCGGCCGGAGGCGGAGGAGGCTTGAGAGGACGCGAGCGGGAAGGGCGGAAGGAGAAGTCGCGAACAGGGGCATGGATCGAGGACGCAAGAAGGACATGCAATAGGCGACGGGACATGACGGGGGAAGGGCGGTGGAAGCTCCACCGCCGGGTCCCGGCAGTCTGTGCCGCGCGGCGGCGGAGAGGGAAGGAAAGGGAAGGAACGGCAAGCAGACAACGGCGAACGCGCAGGCGGGACGCCAGAGCCAGCGGGACGAAGCACGCGGGCGGGCGGCGGGAAGGCGCGGCGGGACCAAGGGGGAACACGCTTTGGAAGGGGATCGGGGCGAGGGGGACACGCTTTGGAAGGGGGGACACGCTTTGGACCAAGGGGGGACACGCACCAAGGGAGGACCTCGGTCAGGTGATTGGAAGGGGTACCAGGCAAGCGTCGGGGACGGGAGCAAGGGTGGCCTGCATGGGCCCCGTTTGACCGCACGTTCTCGGGAGGCTCCTTCGGACCGCCTGGGGTGCGCCCCGGGTGTTGCTGGCGGCCCTACCTGCAGCTGCCGAGCATGCCTGAACGTTTGCGGATTACTTGGCAGTGGGGTCCTCGAGCCGAGGGCCGTGGGGCCGTGGGTCCCTCGCTTTGTTTGGCTCGCTTTTTCGCGCGGATCGGCTTCGCACGGACGTTGCGGAGTCTTGCAGGCACGCCGCGGCTTGTGCCAACGTCGGTTGCGGGGAGAGTGGGGGGGGGAGCAGCCACGACACGTATCCCAGCTGCTGCATGCGAGGCGTAGTTGTTTTGTGAGGCCCCGCCTTCTTCCGACCTTTCTCTGCTAATTAAAGCTGTGCGCGTCCCGCTTAGCTTTCAGCGGAAGAGGTTCGCTCTCGCCCTGCAGATCAAAAAGTGAGGCGTAGTTGAAAGACCCTTGTGCGCTCAATGCCAGGCCAGCTCAGGAGAGGGACGCCGCGCTCGGTGCCCCCAGTGGCATGTGTGCTGCACGTGCTCTCGGCGTCTCCGTGGGGAGTTCTGACGGGGCGGCTGAGGTGGTCCGCGCGTGCAGTGCGGGCCTGAGGTGGGGTGTCGTTGACATCGCGAGCAGCTTGGGGTAATGAGAGCTGCTCCCAAGTGTGCAGCGGGGCTCCGATCGGGCGACGGAGCTGGTCCAGACGTGCAACGCTGGCAAGAGATGGGATGCCGCCAGCATCGCGGGCAGCCTGCCCCCGCTGGGAAAGCGATGCAACTCATCCTACCCCCCATGATCCTGGATTCCCCTGGAACGTTAAAGCACCTCCGTCCACAAGTTGCCTCAAACCTCGGCCTTCAATCACTGATGGCCAGAACGACGGTTGGATGATCCTTGCATGCAACATGAAACTACCAATTTCCCCAAGGGGTGTCCACGTATTCTGTGCAGGAAACCTGGTGGCATGTTCGGCCCCGGGCCGGGTTCTTCGGGGATCCTCCCCCTGTCGTTTTCCTTGGGGAAGGCCCCCCGCGAAACGTGACGCAACGCAGCGGAAACGCACGACAGCGCAATCCAGCGCCAGGCAGTGTAACGCAGCGCAGAACAGCGAAGTGCGCATCAACGCAGCGCAGTGCAACGGCTGAGGTGAGGCAGCAGGAGGAGGACGAGGAGCAGGGGGAGGAGGAGGAGGAGGAGGAGGAGGAGGAGGAGGAGGAGGAGGAGGAGCAGGAGGAGCAGGGGGGAGGAGGAGCAGGAGGAGGAGGAGGAGGAGGAGAAGGTGGCTGCACGTGCACGACGACCTACAGCCATGAGCGAAAGAGAAAGAGGAGGAGGAGGAGGAGGCGGAGGCGGAGGAGGAGGAGGAGGAGGAGGAGGAGGAGGAGGAGGAGATGATCCACCAACCGCCAAGCGATTGAGGCGTGTACGTGGCAGTGCGCCGACAGGCCACGATCTCATACCCAGTATTCATTCATTCTACACCTCATACATTCCTTCTTCAGATATTCACACATCCATTCCTTCAACTACCTGTTACATTCTCGCTCATACCAATTACATCTCACTGCGATGCACCGCCACATTGGTGGCCTTCCGCCTCAGGGGCGGTCCTCGCTGCGAGCTCGCGAGGTGGTGGAAGTGGACGCCACCGCAGCCCAGCGCGCCGCGCGGCAACGGCGCCTAGCTGCACCCGAAGCGGCGGCGTGGCGTCGCAGCGGCTGGGCCCCTGCCGCCGGCGTGCAGAGCCGCCATGGTGCTGACTTGATCACGATGCTGCACAGGGCCATGCGGGCCCACAGGAGCGATCTCGAGCGCGCTCACCCCGAGGACCGCCTGCTGGAGTTCGAGTGCATCGCTGTGGAGGCCCCACCGGTCGCCCTCGAGGTGCCGCCGCTCGCTCCCGGGTGGCTGTCGAGCATCATGGCTGCTGCGGCTACGGGCGCCAAGGCGAGGCCGAGGGCCAGGCGGCGGTGGCCGAGCGCTGCGCCGCCGCTCCCGCACTGCCTCCGAGCGACAGGCCGCTGGCGGATGGCCGCCGCTGGCCGAAACTGCCGCCGCGGCCCGGGGCAACCACTTGGCGGCCGCCCGGCGCCAGGCCGAGGCCAGCCCCGCGGCGGCGGCCACGGCCGAGCGCGGGGGCGCCGAGCCACAAGCTACGGCCACCGCCTAGACCGCACATCAACGGTCCACAGCGACAGCACGCGCGCAAGGGCGATCGTCTGATTCCGACATGCGCGCGTCCAACGTCCGACATGCGCGCATCCGACTGTCGCCGTGGATGCGTCCAACGTCCAAGCCACGCGTTTCCTTTTTGGGCCCCCGTCGGGGCGGTGGTCGCGCACAGCAAGGCTCAGTCAGCCCGGGGGCGCCGCGGACCATTCGCACGGCAAAGGGTTGTGGATCATGAGATGCAGCGCGTTTGTGACTGACGCTCATTGAGAGGCGCCGCCCGCACTGTTACTCCTCCTCAGCCCACTTCCTCGCTCATACCTCTGCCACATTTCGCTCTCTGCCGCGCTTCCTAGCCGGCCGCTCTTGGCAACGCAGCCTTTTCATCGCCCAGGAGATGGAAGAGATAACCGGTGGGACGATGCCGCCATCTGCTAGCATATCCGCCACGAGTGCTGGCCGAGGCGAGCTCGGGGGCCGATTGGAGAGTCTCGTGAGCCTCTCGATCTTCGCTTCTGCCCCGCACCATGCCCCAGTATTGGCGTCGACACGCAGAACAATCCTGCTCCCGCGTGCGTCTTACAGATTCGCCCGCTGTCGCGGCAGGAGCGCTTGACCCTCGACACCCTGCGATCCTCCTGCCTATTGTTTTCGTCGTCGGCTCCCCTCTTCCCCGGCCTCGCCGTTCCCGCGGCCGCGCCCAGGGGGCTTCCCTCTCCCCGCCCCCGCGCACCCGCGCGCTCGACTGGACGGGGCGGGGACGCCCTGGCAAGTCGGCGCGCGACACCTGCGCGACTCCCTTCACCTACAGACCGCACTGCCCACGTTCACCGCACCCTTCGCCACCGGAGGGCTGGCTCTATAAAAGCGAGAAGACTGCGACAAAGGGCACCAGTGGGCCCACAGCAGTGTTCTCGCTGGCGCGCTCGCGCTGGGCTGGGGCGGGGTGGCGGTCACTGCGGTGAACCGCCAAGCCCCGGGCAGCGGCGAGCGCACAGCCGCCAGCAGGCCCAACTGGGCGCGGGCTGCCTTCCCCCTCTGCGCTCGGCGCGCGGCGGACAGACTGCCGGCCGAGCACCAGGCTGCGCGCTGCGACAGCTCCCTCGGCACGTCTTCCCCCCCCCCCTGCTCCTCCCCCTCTCATCTCGCCCTCCGTCACGTGGGTGCTTGTCAGCTGGCTGGTCCGAGGCGCCCGCGGCGCCCCCATAGGCCCACGCGCCGGACCGGGGAGGCCGCGTCGCCGTGTCGCCGAGCAGCATCCAGGACAGATCTCCCCCTCTCGTTTCCTCCCTTTGTCGTTCGCTCGTCTTCTCGCTTCCCCACTCCTCCAGCCGAGCCTGTCGCGGGCGCAGGATGCCGCTCCGTGCTTCCAGGTTTGCACTTGCACGCCGCAGCACGACAGATGAAAAAGGCAATGCCCAACCACCCAACCACGGCGGCGTGGGAAGCGGAGCGCAAGGCCTTCACAACCAAAATTTTCCCCACTGTGCTGTACGCACCACAGCACGACAGTCGACAAATGCACTGCTCAACCACGCTGCCCGAACGGCTTGGGAGGCGGAGTGCAAAGCCGTCGGAGCTAATGTTTCACAGCGCGCCTCAGTGAGGAGCACAAGGCGCCGCACCCAGCCAACTGGATGGGGGGGGTAGTACGAGTGAACGAGGAGGAACGCGGGTGCCTTCTGTGCCAGCCGCCAGTCACCAGCCGCACAGGCGACTTCGAGGCCCTGGCCAGCCCAGTGACCCCTTTCCAGCGCCCCTCCCCCCTCTCGCTTTTGGCACGGCGTCGGCACGGCTGCCTTGCCTCTGTGCCCCCTGCCCTTGTTTCGGCTCGGGGGGGCGTGGGACGGTTTTTTCTGGACTGCTCGGGGCCTCTCCCCGCTCTTCTCCCGCCTCTCCTCGTCGCGCCTGCTGCCATCACGGTCCTCCTCGCCTCTGTTGCTCCTCCTCCCCTGCTGTAATCCCTCTCCGGTCGTCCTTCCCGTCGTTCTCGTTCCCCTTCAGGGACCCCCCCCCCTTTTCGTTGCCGTGCCACTTTTTTTCAACTCCAGCTCAGCCCTCGGGGGTAGGCCCTGGGTGGGCTTGGTGTGGCTGCATCCGATGCCCTATAGCCATCAGGAATCAGGAGGAGGAGGAGGAGGAGGAGGAGGAGGAGGAGGAGGAGGAGGAGTGGAATCATTCAGAGCGCGCCGCAGCAGCAAGTTGACGAGAAGGGCGCCCCAGCAGCAGCACATTACATGGCTAGCTGGTGGCAGACATTGGAGCCGCCTTGCCAACCTGGGTCCCCGAGCGCCGTCCCGTCCCGACGGTCCCGACGGTGCCGCCCTTCCCCGCAGGAGGATTGTGTGCAGCCCGATGAGCGGGCCATGCAGAAGGACTCCGCCGAGGCCCTGGCAGAGACCTGTGCACTCTTCCTGCTGAGCGCCCTGGCCGCAGCATTCCGGCACACTCTGAAGTCGCCCTGAGCCGAAAGCACAGCTCGCCACGAGGCAAGCGGGTCCTGAAGCAACGGGTTCTGAAGGTTCTTGCCCCACGTTCAAGATCCTGGGAGGGCCCTGAGACCGTCAGAAAACGCCGCGGGACGAGAAGCCAGTCTCGGGGAGCAAAATCCCGGAGGTGCAGGAGCCGTTCCTCCAGGGACTCGTTTCTTCAATGCCAGCCAACGCGTGAGCGACGCAAAGAAACGGGCTCGATTGCGCCGACATTGGTGCGTCAGTTGTTCGCGCGTAAGCGCCCTCGCTTCCAGCGTAGCGTGCCGCGTCGGCGACCAGCGCAAGCCGCGCTGTAAGGTCGCTGTGCCGTCTCGTGGCAGATCCGTTTCTGACCTTCGCTCACGCGAGGCCATCTCGAGCAGACTCCACAACACCCGAAGGAGAGACGGCGGCGTCACCACCAGCGGTTGGAGGTCCGCCGCCCCTGGCGCGCTCCGCGCGCCAGGGAAGGGCTCCCGGCGTCGATCAACGCAAAGCTCGGATCGGAGCTCCGAACGTTGATGTGCGTGTTGGTCTTCTTGTTCTTCGAACCGCACGTGGGGCCGCGGGGAGGGCGTCCCAATTCTTTCAAGTACGTATTCGACAACAAAGCGCGCTGCGTGCACGCATGAATTTGTAGTGGCACCCAGTGCGCCGCAATGCCGGCCCTCGGTGCACTCTGCCTCAAGCGTTTATCGGCTTGCGGTGGGCTTCTGCTCGGCAGCCCCTGGTCGGGAAGCACGGGATGGCGGGGCGAGATTCCTGTGGCGGCTGGGCAGGGGGGCTCGCATGCTGTGATCGCGCGCTGTGTAGTTTGCTGTATTTTCTTGTCCGGCTCCGGGTGCGCGGCACCGATTTGAAGACAGACGAGGGCCCGCGCCCGCGCCCCTGCAGAGTATGCTGGGGCCAAGGCCTGCGGCTCTGACTGGTGGCCCTTCTCGGGTGCTGCTGGAGGTGGCCATGGCCCAACGTGCTCCCAGCTTGTCGCGCCACTCTGGAGCCCCCGGCCCCCCTGGGCTTCGACCGGGGTGCGCTGGAGGCCATGTGGGCCTCCTCGGAAATCACGGGGACGCCTCGGGCCCGGGGCACCCGTAGCAGCACCCGACCTCTCCCCGCCGGACCCCCGTTCGGCCAGACTCGTTCTGTGGCCAGCGGGGGGCCTTCTTTGGGCCCTTCTCTGCGGGCACACGAGCGGACGGGGTCGGCCTTGGGGTGGCAAGCCAGGGGCAACGTTAGGGGGGGACAGGCTCAGGGGAGGGCGTAGCGACCCCCAATCGCCCATGGATTATGGATCCCCGACAGGGGCCCGATAGCACGTCCCGCTCAGGAACCTGCGGTTTCGCTATCGGGGGCCCATCGCTGGGCTATCGGCGCTGTGTGCCGAGTCGAGCTCGAGGCTTCCGCCCCCGAGCTGGTCCAGACCCCCCCCCCTTGGCGTTGCCCGTTGGAAAGGATCGCGGGCGGCCAAGAGGGGGGTGATGGCCAGGGGGAGGGATGTCATGGCCAGGGGCCATTGTAACTTTCTACATTTCGGGGCGCCTCTTTCCATTCTAATGCGTCCCCTCCCCCCCCTGGGGCCGCGCACATGCCTCGGGTCATGAGTTGCGAAGCCCCCTCTTGGACGCCCCCCTCTTCGGACGCCCCTCTCTTGGGGGATGGGGGCAGCCGTTTCGCGGCGGTGGTGGGCGCCCAACACATCGGGGGATCGCAGTCTCGAGGCGCGTACCGTGCGCGGCGCGTGCAGCGCAGCGGTGTGGGGCGCATGGCGCGGCAATGCCTGGCGCTGGATCGGGGCTGCCCAGCGCTGCTTCGTCGTGGCGCCCCAGCGGTGTTCCGACTGCGTCTTGATTGATCGAGGGAAGTAGGAGGAGCAAGAGGTCATGATTATGATACGGTCCAAGAGATCCAGGAGTGCCAGGACTTACTCATGTTCCACGCGGGCTGTAGCATCGAGGGCCGCTAGATACTGCATAATGCCTGAAACGGATCCTGAGCCATTCGCATCGTGACATCAGTCTCGTGCAGGGAGAAGCATGATGACCATGACCGAGCTGTCGATGGGACATGTCGACGCCCATCCCAGTCATGGTCCGTGCCGGACGTCGCCGATTCGCGAGTGTGATCCACGAATTGACAGCGACCAAGATGGACGATCACCAGGATCGGTATTGCCCCACCAAGTAACTACGTCGTGGCGGTGTTCCAGTTTTGCCCCACGGGCTGCGCATAGGGTGATTTTCGATTGTGTCGGTGGTGTCGCGGCGGTGCCCCGAATGCGTGCCACTGTCTCTGCGCGTGGGCGTTTGATTTCTGTCATCGACGGCACATGGTAATGCTTGTCGTATTGGTTGTCGATATGGTGCCCAGGCTGGCTTCTGAGTCTTGTGGAATTCATCGAGGCCGCTGGCGGCTCATCACCAGCCGCTCCCTAGGAGTCTGACGCACGTGTTTGCAGTCGAATCCGAGGTTCAACCTCAGCCCTCAAGAATTTAGAAGAATCTTGCCCCATTGATTTTCAGGCCGCCTCTTGATACGGAGGCGACGCAGGATGTGCTTTGAGACAGTAGGCACACCAAATATGAAACTGGCTTGCCAACGGGTGCCCCTGGAGAATTTCTTATCTCCCGATGGGTCCACAGAGCCTCGGGGCACCACGAAATCTTACAAGGCTCAGGGTTGGTCCAGGATGTGCACCAAGATCTCTTGTGGCGTCATTCCTTCTCGTACGTGCCTGGTTCTTGGAGCCAGAGTGCCAAGAGCATCTGATACGCACGAGGCCCTTTACTGGTAGGTGTTGGTCGCACAGGCGTGCATATGTGGCCGTGTTTATGTGCTGCCGCGTGCAAATGTGTGTCTGCACACGTTGGTGCTGCGATCATTCTCAGCGTTCCAGAACGGGCCTCGGCGTCGAGGGGTCGAAAGGGGTCGACGTCTCCTCCTTGGCGGAAGCCCGCAGAAGCAGAACGGGGCTGGCTCCGCTGGCGGAAGGCTGGCGGAAAACAGAATTCGGCCTTCCAAGCGATGTTGTTGTTTGAGGTTCAGGTGTTGGGGGGCCCAAAGTGTGGTAGACATTCTCAGGCCCGGAGTGTCGGGTTAGTTTCGTCACCTGGCCGATTGTTCCTCTGGTGCGCTCGCAGTGTTCCTCTCTGGGCCGCTTTTCGGTCGCGCAATTTTCGATTGCAGTTAGTTGCTCGTTAGTCTTTCAGTGGTCCCTTGCGCGATTTCAACACTGTACATAAGTATCAAGGTGTGCGATCGGGATGGACAAGTCGTTGTCCAAGATGGCCGACTGTCTAAAACACTCCATTCCCTTGTACATGCTTCACCAGATGCCTTTGCTTTCTTTGATGCGCGTGTCACCGCGTGGCCTGTCTCATCATAACCGTCGTGGCTTCTCAAGTATATGGCCCGGTCCGCAAGAGTTCAAGTCATACTCTGTTCGGGATTCGATGCGGCTTTCAGTATAGTTTGCGCGGCAGGCAGTCGTTCTACACGGACGGGCTCGATTGGCGAGTTTACCGGAGACGTAAGTCTCTCGTTCAGACAGTGATCGGTCGGCTTGTTGTTCGTAATTTCTGCGGACCGACTTGTTGTATTCCGCGTCCCCGTGATCATCCATGATACGACGTCTCGGCAGCAAGCATGGGGAGGGATAGTGAGCAGTAGTGTGGCAGCAGGATGAGGGTGATGCTGGACTGGGCGATGTTTATCCATTCGTGAAGTGGCCGCGCGGCAGGGTAGGAGGACCAGCAACAATTTCGTGCTAGGCGATGGGAGGGCCATTACATCCTCACCTCTCCGTTTCCTCACTCATTGTCCTTTTGTGTTCCCCCCCCGTTGGGCACACACGGGCGGCATCGAGCATGCAGCGCAACGCCGAGCATTGCTAACATGATGTTTCGTCCTCCGAAGCGCCGCATGTGGCGTATAGAGATCGCCACATTTAGTGTACGGTTTTCGACATGCTTGGGACTGTTGGCTCCAATCCCAGGGGCGCAGACGAGATGCGTGATTGGTGAGAAGGCCCATGCGTGACTGAAGGGCTGGGAGGCAAATACACAGTAGAGCGAGGATGGTCACACAGACTATTTGCCATCGTTACGCTGTCACGGAATGCCATGTCTAGTGTTTGTTGTCGCTCTCAAACAAAACATCAAAAAGCAGCAGGGGACATACGTCCCCAATGCTTTTTGAAAGCCACACGTGCATCTGCAACCAACTACACGTACGCGTCTTCGGCGCATCCCGCAACCGTGCTTGAGTTGCGGGCCAGAAGTTTCTTGGATTCGTATCCGAGTATTGTGGGATGGTTCACGGGGCCTCCTGGAGGCGTGTGCGGGGCCTCGTGGGGGCTTTCTTGCGGGCCTTCTTGGGGGCATATCGCGGACCTCTTGAAGGCCCTTTGGGGGAAGGCTTCTTGGGTGCTCTCCTTTAAGAGGCATCTTGGGATCTCTTGGAGACATCTTCGTGGTCTGCTGGTGGTCTCGAGGGGCCTCGTGGGAGCGTCTTGGGGCCCCCCTTGGGTGCCTGCTGGTGGTTTCGGGAGCCATCGCAGGGCGGAAGGCTCGGAATACTAGTTTGGGTTTCCCCTCCTAGGTCCCGCTTGGGCCGTCTCGAGGGACCTCTTGGACCGCCTTGGGGTTCCTGGGGCTATCGTGGGAGCCTCTTGGGGGCCTGTTGGGCCGTGTTGGGGCGATAGTGTGCCGTCTTGGAGCGTAGGAAACATGTCAACGCGAAACCATTACAGTCGCTCAAACATCGAAGATAAACGACTTGTGTTTCTTAATTCGGCCCTCTAGGAGACCGTTTTTAGACGCCTTGGGGGCATCTTGCGCTGACTCGAGGCCATCTTGGGCCGTCTTGGGGCTCTCTTGGGCCGCTTCGGTGTGTTTTGGACCTTCTGGGAATCCTCTCGGGACAATCGTAGCCCGTGTTTGGGCCTCTTGGCCTCAGCAAGAGTGACGCAAGCCCCAATAGCGACGCCAGAGGCTCCAACACATTCGGCCAGGGTTTTAGGATATACCACTCAATGCCTCGCGGCACGGTGGCGGAATCATGTTCTACCTATTGATGCCGGCCTTGCATTGCATTGCCCACTGCATTCCATTGCTCGAGCGTTGAAGGGGGTCGGGGGTCGTCGATGGAGTGGCTCCCTCCTCGCTCCCGGCCGCTCCTCGCGCTGCGGAGTTGGCGCTGTTGAGGAGCCCGCAATGCCCACCCTGTGCCTGCCCGCCAGTACGCTGTGCTCTCACGTGCGCGGGCCCTTGCCAGCACCAGCCAGACCTCGATTCTCGAAAGCGGCTGGCTTTGGCTCATCGGTGCCTTCATCCTCGGCTCTGTCTCCGCCGTCGGGGGCTGGTACCCATGGATCCAACGCCGTTGGCCATGTCCATCGGTTCCTCCTTTGGCTGGTACTCTTCCAGCTGCTATCGTGTCTAACGCGTTCTCGCTCCCGCTCCAGACCCGTGGAGTGTCTGGTCCGCCCCCCCCCCGTCGGCTCTCAAGCTTCAGTGATGGAGAGGTCTCTTCGTAGAAGATGATGCCAACGGCTTCGGCGCCAGGAGATCCTGTGTGTCAAAGCTGGACGTACAGAGGCACGGGTAACATTGACCCCCTCGTTCGTTTCTTTCTTCATGTATCGAATACGATCAGACATGCCGTGGTCACTGGTAGCAAGTCGTGGCCTGCTCACCGGAATCGACATGATAAGTTCGTGTTCGATGCAGTTTCCAGAGTCGAGCTGAACCAGTTTGTGTTGCAGGCCCGAGTGCAGGCGGTTGTCCTGGCCGACGACGACCAGGTTGCGCGGGCGCCCGAGATGGTGCGGTTTCGCGCGGGTCCTTGTGTCGAGAGACTGGGTGAGGTCACCCTTGCCAAGACCACCAACGACGAACATCTGTTCGGTGATATCGGCGATTGGTCGGTGGCAAGGGTTGGCGGCTCTGTCGCGCGGGCTGCCCGCGTCAACGTGGCTGGGGAGAACGCGCGACTGAAGCAGCGCCAGACATCTGAGCGAGACGGCCGTAACATTGGTGCTTATCTCCGCAGCGGCAAGATGCGCCCCCCCTTCGCGAAGCTCTCGGTCTTTCTCTCATCGGAAGTGCGACGAATTGAGCTTCGCAGGGCCTCGCTTTTAGTGTCGAGTACCTCACCTTGGTTGAATAGTCATCGGCGGCAGTCAGCATCGAGCGTCTTCCGAGGTTCGGGCGCGCCTCATTTGCATAGGCCGGTTTCTGCAACGTTGCGTTTTGGTCGATGTCGGCCAGGTCGACGCGTCCAGTTTGCAGACGTTGAGATCGCAGTTGGGCGCAATTGCATACGCCCCGACTTCGCGGGTCTGGAGGAGGTCATAGGCGGCGCCGCTACTTCCAACGGGGCTGCCACCGTGGCCAAATTCAGAGAGTGGGTCGCTGTCCGCAAGGACTATCGCGCGACGGTGCTCAAGCAGGCCCGACTGGAACGCGAGGGGCGGGCCAACCCGACACGGGCGCAGCCTAATTCAGGTTGGGCCCCGAAGGAAAGGCGAGGGCAAAGGCTGAGGCAGGCGCGAGCGGCGACGGTGGCGCCACTGCCGCGGACCCACGACGACGCTGGCATCCTCGGGAAATGGTCTCCGCGACGTCGCCCGCGCCGCTTGAATGAAAGGTCGCGCCCCTCCGCCGGGAGCCGCTTGTCGGGCTGCTCATCGGCGCGTTCTGGGCGATCGCCGGCATGGCGAACTTTTCCCCCTGCCTCGAGTCACTCGCCCCGCGCCAGCGTTGTTCGAGACAGGCTCCCGCTACATCTGAAAGCGCCGCAATGCGTAGGTCATTCGGCGTGGGCGATTGAGCGAGGCTTCCGCAGCGTTGAATCACCGTCAATTTTAGCATGAGGTCGCCTACCGCACCGCGGCGATCGGATCTACGTCGGCCGCGCCAGCGCGCGTCATCTCGCGGCGGGCCCCCATGCTGACTTGGGCGAGAAGCAAGCCCGCGACGGGGCCCCGCGCGTCGAAGTCCGACCGCGGACTGGGGCCAACGAACCTGGCGCCGCATTGCATCGCAAGGTCGAAGGTCTTCCGCGGGCCTCCGTCACCGCGCCTTCCGGCAGACGGTTCCCCGGCCGGGCCCGCACAGATTCTTCGGCATTGCGACATTCGAAACGAGAGGGGGATAGACGAACGCCCGGCTATGGCCCCATAGTGGCCCGGGCCTTGCGCCCGCCGCCCATCACCTCGCGAACGGCGGCGCCTGGCCAAGCACCCGGAGATCGCTGGGCCGACGTCCTTGCGCGTTCGGACCGAGGCTTTCCGCGCGCCGTTTTCCCCGAAGAGGAGCGGGGGCGAGATCCGCGCAGCTCTCGACTCCCGCCGGGCCCGGCTCAGTCGTGGACTGCCGTTGTCCGCGCAGTCCGCGTCTGCTCGGGCCGCGGTGAACCGCGACCCCCCGGGCGATTTCTCGGAATCTACGCGGGCGTTGCGGCGCCGTCGCGTCGACCCCCGCCTGGGCGACGCTGATGTCGATGGTTGCCTCTCGCGCAATTTCAATGGCGTTCAGCTCGCTCCGCGGTCTTGCAGCGGGGCGACTGCGCCGCCAATGGCGCGCGCGATTGCGGCGCGCGCCGTATTTGGGGCGACGACCTCGGCAGGCGCGACGCGCTGATGCCCGGCGGTGACTTGTTCGCCTGCCTCGAGGGCCACTGCGCGGCCTCGTGGTGGTCTCTTTATTTATGCGAGTTGCTTGTTCGGGAATATCGTCGCCCTGCGCCGCCCCGCAGGGCTCGACGGTCTTCCTCGAGATCGCCCCCCCGTCCCCGACGCGGGCCCCGGCGCGCCGCCCCACGGGGCCCGCGCTTCCAACTTCAATTCCGCCGTGGTCTCTGCCGAGAACTCCGCGCGCAGCATGGGTCATTTCTGGAGAATTTGGCCGCCCAGGATATCGGGCATCGCGACGAAAGCGTGGCGCGGCGTTCCTGGGGATCTCGCGCGCGTGGAATTCCGCGCGCATCTCGAAGTGCCCCGGCGCCCCTCCCGGCGGGCGCAGCGCGTCACCTCGTCTACTAGGGCCCTTCTACGCCGCGCGCGCGCGGTGACGAGATCGAGGTCTGATCGCAGTTTGGCCCGGCAGCGCTGTCGATCGACAGCGCTGCCGGGCCTCAGGGCTGAAGGCCGTCGACGGCCTTCAACCCTGAGGTCCTCTTGGCGTCGCAGGGGCCCCGCGCCCACTTCGGCCCGGCGCGTTCGAGCCACCCCCCTCGAGCGCTCGACTGGAGGCGGAGATCATCCGACGCCTCGCCATCGCCATCGAGGCGCGCTTGGGCGCGCCCATCTGGTCCGCGGCCCACGCGGGCGACTCGTCGACTTCAGGCCGCGCCCGGGTGGCTGCGAGGTCGGGCGCGCATGACTTTCGCGGCGCCGTTCGAAAGCGAGAGCGTCGGAGGCTTCGCGTGGAGCTCGCGCGACCCGCTCGGACCGATGCCCCCGGGGCTGGGGCGGCGCGCTCGCGGCGCGGCGCGGGGCCAGAGCCCCCCCGGGGCGGAGGCGGAGTAGCCGACGCCTGGCCCGAGCGAGACTGGCGGGGCACCCTCCGCGAGCGCGCCCAGCGGTGGCTCGAGGAGCACATCAATGCGATGGAAGAGCGAGTCAGGCCCCGCTCGCCGCGCCATCTTTGCAGATGCGCCCGGGCCCGCGGCTGCCGCTGCCCGCGCGCGGGCGACAATTTCGCCGCGATCAGTGGTCACGAGCGGAGC